GTGCTTAACAGGTTAACACCATAGTCCCTAATATATGTGTAGAAAGGCAGGAAATGGAATTAAATCGAGAACATTTTTTATTGTGGAGGGTGTGTGTGTGTGTGTGTGTGTGTGTGTGTGTGTGTGTGTGTGTGTGTGTGTGTGTGTGTGTGTGTGTGTGTGTGTGTGTGTGTGTGTGTGTGTGTGTGTGTGTGTGTGTGTGTGTGTGTGTGTGTGTGTGTGTGTGTTACATCTTTCAGACTGGAGACGATGAGTGATTTAAAAGATGAGGAAGAGGACACATCTTCAGTCTTCAGCCGTCTGTCTCTGAAGAGTGACTGGTCTAATGAGCAACCTCCAAACTTCAGAAATGAACCTGGACCCTCAGACACAAAGTAAGAGTTTCTGCTGTAAACTGACCTGAAGAGGGTTCAGTTTTTATACAACGTGATATATTAAGGATATTTCAATATGCATTTATATTAGGGCTGTGCGATTATGGCAAAAATCATAATCACGATTATTTTGGTCAATAATTGATATCACGATTATTAAATACGATTATTCATGACTTTGAAAACATCCATTTATTGAACTTTTAAACAAATACAAATAATAATTTGAACAGTATCTTTTTAACTGTTGATTACCCTGAACGTATAATTCAACTGAAAAACCAATACAAAAATAAATAAAATTATACATTTATATTTACATTTAAATAAATAATATCAAAATAATATACCAATAAACAAGATCAACAAATATTTTGGAGCGCACTTCAACAAGCTACTAAACATATATAAATATGATAAATACAAATAAATTATACTAAAATAAATTAGACCAAAATAAATGAGATCAAATATGTCACAACCAAGCAAAGCAAAATAAACGTTTTTTTCGATTATGTTGTTTTCGTAATTGTGGCAGGCCAAAATTGTAATTGCGATTTAAAATACGATTAATTGCACAGCCCTAATTTATATTATCATTGTATCTGCATGCCCCCGGAACCCCCTAGACGACGGGAGGTCCACCCACAAATAAAACAGGTTAACATGGATAGGAGACTAGATAAGTTTGCACACTCATCATATACACTACACATTTTTCTTGGATTTGTTAACCTGTTACGCACCGCCCCCCCCGGTACCGGGCAGATAAACGCGTCATTCGCAGGAAACAACGTCTAAGGAATCTTAATATTTAATAAACTATGAATGTTTCATATCCATGTAACGGAAAGAAACTCAGCTAACTGATATTTAAAAAAAAAAGAAAAATTTAAAAACCACAATGCTAACACTCAGCCTCTGAATTATCCATGAGCGAAAAAATGTAACCTATAACGGCACCTAAACTCACTCTAACTCCCTTATTACTTATCCTAGATGCACAGCCAACCCCTCAATTAGCATCTCCTGGAGACACAGAATCGTTTGGTGCCCACCTCAACACTCAGTGATAAACATTTGCGACGCTATAAATGAAAGCGTACATCAGAACATGTGCAGCTAGGTAGCTAGAAACGCTAACATGGCTTACCTTGGTCAAAAGTGGTCTTCAATGGCATTAAAACGATAAAAAACGATGCTGCAGTTAATCCATAGGTTAATCCAATGTGTCTGTGTCCTCTTTGAAATGATTTCTGATAATCCATAAGCAATAAAACTGCTTTTTCGTTTCCAAATGTCAGAGCGAGAGATCGCTTCACTCTGGTGCAAACCTGCATGCGGGAAGCCCCCACCATTTGTTTTCACAACGAGTGTGTGGGGGCCTCCCCCTTCGATTCTATTGGCTCTAACGGTCAGAAAGAGGTGTCAACCATCAAAATCGACCAAGGGGGGCCAGAGATATGGAAAAAAAAACATTTTCATCCAAATCACCTCAGAGGTGGGGTGGTTTTGGCTAAACCTCTCTAAAAAGGTCAAATGTCACTTGTTTTGCATCAATCTTGATACAGGGTACTTATTATATGTTGTACTTTGGATTCCTAAAGCTTTTAGTCTACTAACCCATCATCCAAGGGTAGTTTTCACTATAAGTAAAAAAGAATTTTTGGACGGACACTATAATTTACAGTTTTTTACTATGTAAAATCTGAATTTTCTTTAAAATAAAAAACATCTATATTGATTCTGACACTTCTACATCCAACTCACAGATGTAACCTTGCTTTGATAAAAGAAATTATTCATATAACCCTTTTAGAAGTTAAGTTGTAGTCATTTGTTTTGGGCATGTCATTTTCGAGCCTGAAACATAGTCCCTAATATATGTGTAGAAAGGCAGGAAATGGAATTAAATCGAGAAAATGTTTCATTGTGGAGGACCTGTGTGTGTGTGTGTGTGTGTGTGTGTGTGTGTGTGTGTGTGTGTGTGTGTGTGTGTGTGTGTGTGTGTGTGTGTGTGTGTGTGTGTGTGTGTGTGTGTGTGTGTGTGTGTGTGTGTGTGTGTGTGTGTGTGTGTGTGTGTGTGTGTGTGTGTGTGTGTGTTACATCTTTCAGACTGGAGACGATGAGTGATTTAAAAGATGAGGAAGAGGACACACCTTCAGTCTTCAGCCGTCTGTCTCTGAAGAGTGACCGGTCTATAGGATTGTTTCCAAACTTCAGTAATGAACCTGGACCCTCAGACACAAAGTAAGAGTTTCTGCTGTAAACTGACCTGAAGAGGATTCAGCTTTTATACAACCTAATATATTAAGGATATTTCAATATACAATTATATTATCATTGTATCTGTGGCATAAAATGGTTTTATATGGCACAAATATTGAAAAACACTAACTAAAAATGAAATCTACATCATCCAAAACATTATGCATAGTAGGCTGGTATTGATTTAAAATGACATGCATCCGCTAAGAAAAATAGTCCGTTGTTACCGTTTGAACTACGTAGCAACGGCAGGAACTGCTTCGATAGCGTTTTTGCGGACCTTTTTGATTACAGATTTGAAAACATTGTTGCTTGCTTTAAAAGTAGCACAATTCATTATGTCAAAGCTTGGAAAGTATCTAGATATCCCTGCCCTAACGCCAAAGTAACTGGCAACTGAATATGTTTTGCTGTTTGATGTCTATGTCTGGACCGCTGCGTAAAAAGGAGGGTTTCTGCCCCGTTACTTCTCCGCTGTTTTCTTGTCCCAGTCCGTAAAGCTTTTCGGCCAAACTGTATACAGTACAATCGACCGGACTTCTTTGTGCAGATGTGAGCGTCCTTAACAACGGTCAATAAATCCTTGACAGCGGTCTGTCTGTTCTGGATTAACAACGTGTCACGTGTTCTGAATTGACCAATCAGAATCGAGTATTACATTGCATTTAGCTGACGCTTTTATCCAAAGCGACTTACAATAAGTGCATTCGACCAAGAAGATGCAAACTTGAAGAAAACAGAATCATATAAGTACATTAGGTTTCATAGAACCAAAACATTTCAAGTGCTACTCAACTGGCTTTAGATAAGCCAGTCCTTTGTTAGTATATAAGTGCTTTGTTAGTATATAAGTGCTTTGTTAGTAATTTTATTACTCGAAGTGGAGTCGAAAGAGATGAGTCTTCAGTCTGCTCTGGAAGATGTGTGAGCTTTCTGCTGTCCTGATGTCAATGGGGAGCTCATTCCACCATTTTGGAGCCAGGATAGCAAACCCACGTGTTTCTTTCTGATGGGAACTTGGGTCCCCCTCGCAGAGCGGGTGCAGCGAGCCGTTTGGCTGATGCAGAGCAGAGTGCACGTGCTGGGGTGTATGGTTTAACCATGTCCTGGATGTAGGAAGGGCCAGATCCATTCACAGCATGGTACGCAAGCACCAGTGTCTTGAAGTGGATTCTAGCAGTTACTGGAAGCCCGTGAAGAGAGCGGAGGAGCGGGGTGGTGTGGGAGAATTTAGGAAGGTTGAAGACCAGACGAGCCGCTGCATTCTGGATGAGCTGCAGAGGTGGGATGGCACATGCAGGTAGACCAGCCAGGAGGGAGCTGCAGTAGTCTAGGCGTGAGATGACGAGAGCCTGGACCAGAACCTGCTTTCTGGGTCAGGAGGGGACGTATCCTCCTGATGTTGTAAAGAGTGTATCTGCAGCAGCGGGTTGTAGCAGCGATGTTTGCAGTGAAGGACAGGTTGTTATCTAGGGTCACACCCAGATTCCTTGCAGTCTGAGTCGGGGAAACAATAGAGGGGCCGATGTTGATTGTTATGTCAAGAGTGGGACAATATTGTCCCGGAAGAAAAAGCAGCTCAGTCTTGTCAAGGTTGAGCTTGAGGTGGTGAGCAGACATCCACTGAGAGATGTCAGCTAGACAAGCAGAGATGCGTGTGACGACCTGGGTCTCTGAGCGGGGAAAAGACAGAATGAATTGGGTGTCGTCAGCGTAGCAGTGGTATGAAAAACCATGCGGGCTAATGACTGATCTGAGCGAGTTTGTGTACAGAGAGAAGAGGAGGGGACCAAGGACAGAGCCCTGAGGGACCCCTGTAGATAATTGACAAGGGTCAGACTCGGAACCTCTCCAAGTTACCCTGTAGGTGCGGTCTTTGAGGTATGAGGTGAGGAGGGAAAGTGCAGAGCCTGAAACACCAAATTCTTGGAGAGTGTGAAGGAGGATCTGATGGTTCACCGTGTCGAATGCAGCAGACAGGTCCAGAAGGATGATGACAGAGGAGAGGGAGGCTGCTTTAGCCGTGTGCAGTTCCTCAGAGACAGGAGAGCAGTTTCTGTGGAGTGACCTGCCTTGAAGCCAGACTGGTGGTATTCAACTAAGCCATGTAATAATAATAGTAATAACCTGGTGAGCTGGTTGTGTTTAGCATTATCAGATATAACAGAGTTTTGTGTGATTACATGTAGAGTCAATGCAAAGACTCAGATCTGTGCCTGGCAACACGAAGGAAGTGAAGAAGTGAAATTCATGTCAACTGCGTATTCGTGCAGCGTGACACATTTCATCTTGAGTGTAAAGTTTGTGACGCTCTACATTAGTGGAGCTGATTCTCACCAATGGGCAAAGTGCTATAAAGGATGTGTTCATCTCCACAGAGGGAAGAGGAGAAGTGCTGCCAGTCAGACCAGAACTGTACGAGGTAAGAGGCCGAACACATGCAGCGTTTTATTCCTCTTCCTGGTTCATTTGTTTTTGATTAGGTATACTGTTGTAGAGCGTAGTGAGTAAGCTATTTATAAATCATTTAAACTCTGTTTTTTAATTAGATTCTCAGAGCATTTTCCTGATTCTCTCATGTTTCCTTCTCTTTCAGCAGATAGTGGTCTGCAGGAGGTTTTAGATGAACATAGGCTCAGTCTGAGGAGGAGATGTGAACGTGTGACTGAAGGAACTGATACAAGTGACACCCTCCTCAACAGCATCTTCACTGAGCTCTACATCACACAAGGCCAGAGTGAAGAGGTTAATACCCAACATGAGGTGAGGCAGCTGGAGACAGCTTCAAAGAAAGAGACCCTGCATGAAACTCCAATCAAGTGCCAGGACATCTTTAAAGCCTTACCTGACCAACAGACTCACATCAGAGCGGTCCTGACCAACGGAGTCGCTGGAGTTGGAAAAACCTTCTCAGTGCAGAAGTTCACTCTGGACTGGGCCGAGGGTTTGGAAAACCAAGATGTCAGTCTGGTGATCCCGCTCTCCTTCAGGGAGCTGAACCTGATCAAAGGTGAGCAGTACAGTCTTCTCAGGCTGCTCCATGTTTTCCATCCAACCTTACAGAAGGTCACAGCAGAGCAGCTGGCTGTCTGCAAAGTGCTGCTCATCTTTGACGGCCTGGATGAAAGCAGACTTTCTCTGGACTTCAGAAACAATGAGGTTGTGTCTGATGTCTCACAGCAGTCCTCAGTCAACGTGCTGCTGACAAACCTCATCAGGGGGAAGCTGCTTCCCTCGGCTCTCGTCTGGATAACTTCCAGACCTGCAGCGGCCAATCAGATCCCTCCTGAGTGTGTGGACAGGGTAACAGAAGTACGAGGCTTCACTGACCCCCAAAAGGAGGAGTACTTCAGGAGGAAATCGAGTAATGAAGACCTGTCCAGCAGAATCATCTCTCACATCAAGAGCTCCAGGAGCCTCCACGTCATGTGTCTGATCCCAGTCTTCTGCTGGATCACTGCTGCAGTTCTGGACCACATGTTGACTACAGACCAGAGAGGAGAGCTGCCCCAGACCCTCACTGACATGTACTCACACTTCCTGCTGGTCCAGACCAAGAGGAAGAAGCAGAAGTATGAAGAGGGACATGAGACGAGTCCACAGCAGCTGACGGAGGCTGACAGGAAGGTTCTTCTGAAGCTGGGGAGGCTGGCGTTTGAACATCTGGAGAAAGGAGACATCATGTTCTACCAAGAAGACCTGGAGCGCTGTGGTCTTGATGTTACTGAGGCCTTGGTGCACTCAGGAGTTTGTACAGAGATCTTCAAAAGAGAGAGTGTTATCTTCCAGAAAACAGTCTACTGCTTTGTTCATCTGAGCATTCAGGAGTTTCTGGCTGCAGTCTACATGTTGCACTGTTACACCAACAGAGACACAGAGGTACTGAAGGTCTTCCTGCAGGTATACTGGCCCTATAACAACAGAGATCAGGAGTACCCATCCCTAGATGTCTTCCTAAAGGGAGCCATGCAGAAATCCCTCAGAAGTGAAAATGGCCACCTGGACCTGTTTGTCCGCTTTCTCCACGGCCTCTCTCTGGAGTCCAACCAGAGACTGTTAGGAGGCCTGCTGGGTCGCACAGACAACCGTCCAGAAATCATCCAGAGAGCTATCAATAACCTGACGGAGATGAGAGGTTATAAAATCTCTCCTGACAGGAGCATCAACATCTTCCACTGTCTGACAGAGATGAAGGACCACTCAGTGCATCAGGAGATCACAGAGTTCCTGAAGTCAGAGAACAGATCAGAGAAGGAACTATCTGAGATCCACTGCTCTGCTCTGGCCGACATGCTGCAGATGTCAGAGGAGGTTCTGGATGAGTTGAACCTGTGGAAGTACAACACATCAGAGGAGGGACGACAGAGACTGATTCCAGCTGTGAGGAACTGCAGGAAGGCTGTGTAAGTCCAGATGTGATTAACTTTATAAACTAATATGGATCAGAAGTTTAATTATTAAAATAAACACTATAACATTTCTGCTGTTTAAATACTGAGAGCAAAATAAACCCAACACTGTTCTTCTCTTTATTTATAATAATAGTTAAATTGAAGCGTTTTGCTCTTCATATTGAGTGATGGAGGCGACTTGTCCAACACATGAAGGACTTTAGAGGTTTCTCAGCAGGTGATCACACCACACAGCAGGACTTACAGTTATCAGAGAAAGCACTTATTACTTTCTAGTAGGGCTGCACGATTTGGGGAAATAATCTAATTGCGATTTTTCTGACTGATATTGCGATTCGATTTGCGATATTTGTTTTTAAGCGACCCAACGGAAGTTTATTGTAAAATGCGGCCATATCTCCGGCTAGGAAGGTCGTATGAACATGCTCCCGTCTCTAGCATCCCCGCAGCCCGAGCTACGAGTGAAAGAACTAAACTTACATGAAACTTCAGTTGGGTTGCTTTAAAGTCAAGCTTCAGTTTAAGATTCACCCTGTAATAGAAACATGTGATGGAGCATTACTAACCTGACTCAGATGCTTTGTTTCACCAAACCATCTAGGAAAGCTCCATTGGAAGCCATTTGGAAAGGGCAGGCACTTACTTGGCAGGTGATTGGATCAATCTGTCTATCACCTTCTATCATAGGCCACTTCTGATTGGTTAACAATGGCTGGTACATGTGGAGCACAGCACCTCTGATTGGTGTGGATGACTGACACACAAGAAGAAAAAAAAAATTCTTTTTTAAATCGCAGGCTTTGCGATTTGATAATTGCATCATTTAAAATTGCGATTTCGATTTAAAATCGATTAATCGTTCAGCCCTACTTTCTAGTAGTTTCTTTATCATTAAACACACACACGTTTTTATCACAATGTGTTAGTTTAAAATCAGATCTATATCATTTCCCACCAATAACAGAGTTATGTCTTAATGCTGATATACTGGGAACATCTGATGGTATTCAGTTTAAAATATTGAAACTTTATTGGTTTGTTAGTTGTGTTTGTGTGTACAATACATGTTCAGATGCTCAGAGAAGCCAAAACATCCTTTATCCATCATTCACATCCAAATATTAATGAACATTTAAATATGTACATCTCTAATATTGTGATTTATTTAATTTCTGTTTCTTTTGGTAACAGTCACTGACAGCAGGAGCACAGACATGTGATCAGATCACACTGACAACACATTACACTCTATTATAATGTATTATTATTAGGGCTGTCAAGTTAACGCGTTAATAACGCGTTAATAACGCGTTAATAACTAATTATTTTAACGCGATTAACGCATGTGTATTTTTTGTCCTCGGCCGCCCCGCCCCGTAGTTTCAGAGCGCATCGAGTTTAAAATACCCTCTCCAAGCTGATGCTGACAGCCCCGCTCCTGCCGCCCGCTTGTGGCAGACCACATTTCCACGCTCACCGGCAGGCCCGGACTGGCCATCGGGAGGGTGTGTGTATGTGTGGGGCGAGCGAGGCACACCTTACGTGTTGTTGTTGTTGTTAGCATCTGGCGCTAGCTAGCTGCGCTAACGGATATAAGGAGCTGTTTCAATGACATTTCGCCGACAACTGCGCCGAGCACTTGACTTCATGCAGGTAGCCAGACAGTGGGACATTGTACGAAAAGTCAGCACACTCAGCACGGATAGTGCGCGCAACGTGATTGCAGCGTCCAGGCAGCTCCCGTTCGAGCATATATGCCTTGAGCTGCACATAGCTCCAACGATTCATCAGTGTCTCCACATTCTTTCACACACACACACACACACACACACACACACACACACACACACACACACACACACACACACACACACACACAGTATTGTATTAATGTATGAGAGAGGTTCCAGGTTGAATCAAATATTTGTAATGTTCAGGTTGTTGTGTTTAATATTCATCAGAATATTTGTCATTGTTCAAATGATAATAAACAAACATATAAAGCATATGTGTCCACTCATATGTTGATAAGAGTATTAAAAACTTGAAAAATATCCCTCTAAGGTACATTTAGAACAGATAAAAAATGTGCGATTAATTTGCGATTAATCGCGATTAACTATTTTAATCGACTGACAGCCCTAATTATTATATATTATATTAAATGGACTAACAGCAAATGTCAATCAGAACATACGTCAAATCTTTTGTCATCAAATGCTTGAGGTAAATATAATGTTTCCTCTTTTTAACACATGTTGTAATTTATGTGTTATTATAGACTAACTGGCTGTGGACTCTCAAAGACTCTCTGTGAATTTGTGGCCTCAGCTCTGAAGTCCAACCCCTCCCATCTGAGAGACCTGGACCTGAGTAAGAACGATCTGAAGGATTCATCAGTGGAGCTGCTGAGTTCTGGACTAAAGAGTCCAAACTGCAGACTGGAGGCTCTCAGGTCAGTTCACTGACTGCAGTTCATACAGATCTGTTTGTGTTTATGAATTTCCCTGAGAACAAATACAATGTTATTGTTATTTTTTGTGTGTGTGCTTGCATGCAGGGCTGTGTGATGCGTAGTGCAGTAGATCTGTGGTAGTAGTGATTGTAGTTAGTGCATGCTGCATGCTGCTTCTGCTTGCTACTCTGCTTTCAGCTACTGCCGCCGGCTAGCCCTCCTCGCGGAGGGTGAAAAGAGGAGCCGAGTGTGTAAGTCTCCTCCTGCTGGTACAAAGCCGCTCCACCGCCAAGACTTCTGCAGTGCCTCCTCGTGGCCACACACGGTAACTGGGTACCGTGAGGTCCCAGGCTAAACTGTAGGGGATCTCGGAGCAACAGTGGGCCCCAGAGGCAAGGCGCGCAGGCCCACCGGTGTGTGGACACGCCCTGGCGCCTGCCAACCACTGTCCCAGCTATGGGCAAATAGCAGGGGCAGATGGGGCTCATAGCCATGGAAGGCAACCCATCTAGGAGAAGGACACTCTGAACTAAAACCAGGACTGAGAGGAGTTGCGCCCCCCCAGTCCTTAATCAGCATAGTAAAGCCAACCATGAAGAACAAAGTCATCCCAAATCCTATACTTCCAGCGGCGGGAGTCCGTAGGAACATCGCAGAAGATGGTGGTGCTGGTCCTCCTTCCGGAGGACAACATGACGATAGGACCCCAAACCCGCAAGGGAGGGTCACAGCACCCCGTCCGAGCTACTGGCAGCGAACACCATGTTCCGGAAAAGAACAGGCAAGAGATGGACCTTCCAAGATCGAGCCACAGGTATGCTACGTCAGTTGGACTACATACTTGTGAGGCAAAAGTGGAGGAACTCCATCCTGAATGCTGAACCGTACAGCACGTTCAGCTTTGTGGGCTCGGATCACCGCGTGGTCTCCATGAGGGTGCGACTGAGCCTCAGGGTCCCCAAGCCAAGCCCCAAGATCCGGCATGACTGGAAGGCATTCACAACCGACCCTGGCCTTCAAACCAGGTATACGGAGGAGGTTAGGAAGCGCTTTCGGCAGCTGGATAACGGAGTGGAGCCCAGCAGCGAATACAGGAGATTCGTAGTTGCAAACGAAGAGGCGACCAGGCTATGTGTGCCCGTGCTGGACAGAGCCAGAAACTCCCTACGGTCCAGACATCCGGAGGTCGTAGCGGCACGGGGTAGGGTGGAGGAAGCACGCCTCAACTTTGAGCGTGAACCAACCTTGGAGAGATTTGGGGTACTGAACGAAGCCAAACAGTTTCTCTTCAGTACCTACAACACCATCAAAGGGGAGGAACTGATGGAGAGTGTGCGAAGAGTGCAGGCAGCGCAAGGTGAAAGGCAATATGGGGAGGCCTGGAGGGTCATCAATGAGATGACTGGGCGGAAGAGGACTAAGGAGGGACAGGTTGAGGGACACAGCCCAGAGGAGAGGGTGACGACCTGGTTCAACCACTTCCAAAGCCTGCTGGGCACAATAGCTCAAGGTTCAAGGTTCAAGGTTCTTTATTGTCAATCTGACATAGCTACAGAGTAATTATGCAGTTGAAAATCTTATGTCACAGGCTTCTCCAACAATGCAACATAATAACATAACATAATAACAATAAGAGCAAGAGCAATACAAAAATAATAATAGTTATAAAAATGAAATAAAGTTATGATGTGGAATAGTGCAGTATGAGTCTATATACAAGTTATTGGAATGATATATATATATTAGGTATTAGATACATACTACTGAGTAGCAGTTGAATGTTTGATGTTGTTTCAACAGTTCAATTGTTTAACAGTGGATGGAGTTTTTAGCGGATGGAGCTGAGGAAAGTATACCAGCATTCCTCCAGAACCTGCCCATCAACGATGGTCCCTTCACAGCCAGTGAGCTTGCCAGGGCGAAGTCCACAGTGAGAGAGGGCAAAAGTGCTGGGCCGGATGGCATACCCCCGGAGGTCTTAAAGAACTGTGATCTCGATGACCTCATCCTAGACTTTTGCAACCTCGCTCTACTGCACAACATGCAGCCTGATAGATGGTCTCTCTCCAACATCATCCCGGTGCCTAAAGCTGGAGACCTCTTAAAGCCAGACAACTACCGAGGCATCAGCCTGACATGTATCACCGCAAAGGTTTACAACCGGATGATACTGAACAGGATACGGCACGCCATCGACCCTCACCTGAGGGAGAACCAGAATGGCTTTCGAGAGGGGAGAACCACCGCAGCCCAGATCTTGGCACTAAGGAGAATGATCGAGGAGGTGAAAAAGGATAACCTGACTGCTGTACTGTGCTTTATCGACTTCAAAAAGGCATTTGACTCGATCCACAGAAGCACAATGGTGAAGATCCTTGAGGCCTACGGTGTCCCTCCCAACCTACTCCGGGCAATAGAGACCATATACGCAGAAACAAGGGCCAGGGTGGTGACCCCAGATGGCAACAGTGAGGAGTTTGACATCCTGGCTGGGGTAATGCAAGGGGACACCCTAGCCCCCTTCCTCTTCATCATAGTCCTGGATTATGCGCTCAGGAAGGCCATCAGTGGTCGAGAGCAGGATCTTGGCTTCACTCTAACACCAAGGAGGTCGAGACGACACCCCACAGTAGTCCTGACAGACCTGGACTATAAGGACGACATCAGCCTGCTCTCCGACAGCGTGGAACAAGCACAGGAACTCCTGAACAGAGTGGAGTTAGAGTGTGCCAAGGTTGGCCTTAGGCTAAATGCCAAGAAAACTGAGGTTATCACCTATAACATATTACCGGAACATCCACCTCTGACAACAACAGAACTGTGCTTAAAGAAGTCAAGGACTTCAAGTAACTGGGCTCATGGGTCAACTCAACCGAGCAAGATCTTAAGGTGAGGAAGGCACTTGCATGGCGGGCCCTGAACGGCATGACCAGTGTATGGAACTCCAACCTCCCCCGTCAAATCAAACTCAGCTTCTTCTATGCAACGGTAGAGTCTGTTCTCCTCTATTGCAGTGAATGCTGGACCCTGAAGCCAACCCTGCAAAAGTCTCTAGACGGATGCTACACCAGAATGTTGCGAGCAGTACTTAACATCAGCAAGAGTGTACATGTAACCAACAAGATCCTGTACGAGGGAATACCAAGGGTGAGCGAGAAAATTGCAGCCAGGAGAATGAGACTAGCAGGACATTGCCAAAGGCATCAAGAGCTGCCAGCCAGCAAATTGGTGCTGTGGGAGCCAACACACGGGCATCGATCACGAGGACGTCACACACCAACATACATGGATGTACTCAAGAATGACGCAGGAGCACAAAGTACCAATGAACTGGCCAGATGTATGGAGAACCGGGATGACTGGAAGCGACGATGGAGGGCTCGTCTGAGGACGACCTAGAGAGAGAGAGTTATTTTTCCCCCTGTTGCTAATGACTGAATAGTTATCAGAGTAACAAAGAGAAGGTGAATGTGTGAGGGAGAGTGTTTGAGCTTCCTCAGACTCACTCTGTGCTCCATGAGTCAGTGAAGATGCTGTCAGTACTGATGAGCTGTGAGGGAGATGAAGGAGTTGTTAAACATCTGATCAAAGTTAAAGTTCCACATTATCAATGGATTGTTTCTACATCATCTCTGACATTAAAACCCTGTTTAACTCTGAACAGATTATTAAACCTGGAGTTATTTCAAACAGGAACTTTGTTTTCTAAAGTTAGATCATGTTTTCTTTATTCAGACTGAGGGGCTGCATGCTGTCAGAGATCAGCTGTTCTGTTCTGATCTCAGCTCTGAAGTCCAACATCCATCTGAAATATCTGGACCTGAGATTCAACACTCTGAAGGATTCAGAAGTGGAGCAGCTGAGAGATCTTCTGGAGAGTCCAGACTGCAGACTGCAGACTCTCAGGTCAGTAAGGGGTCTCTGCTGGTTCAGCAGTATTGTATGAAACACAGGGAGGTGTTTCTCTCACTGGGGAAACAGATCAGTGATGTTACCCACTGACTGCAGGCTCTTTCATTCTTCCACAAACTATAGAAGGCCAGCTGGAAATGCAAAGCCACACTTTAGTAATCAACTCTCTAACAGACATATGGGGTTTTACAGAAGAGTGGAAAAGGTAGTCTGTTCTTATGGGATGTGTTTAGTTTCTAATGACTGGTTACTTCCTGTAATGCCGCTGAGAGCTGTGGCAGTCAGTCGTAGTGTTTGCAGAGAAGATATGATGGGATGTAAAGCATGAGATCAGGACTCTGAAGCTCAAAGAACAAACACTTATTTTGAACTGGATCTAAAACGGTTGGATTGTGTTCATCTCTACAGGATCAGAAGAGGAGAGACGTTCAGAGCCACGATCTGGAAGACCTGTGAGTACTGAAACCATATCCTCCATTCATCAAGATAGTAAACTCTTGAATGGAGCATGACCTCAGAGGAAAACAACACTCTTGTTTCTCTCCATGTTGTATTATCATCATTATTCTCTCTCTCTCTCCTTCTCCTCTCAGGTGACAGGAAGTGAAGACACACAGAAAGGTGAGAGGTCGTACCGTGTGAACTTTATTTATTGAGGTTTCACTACAGAATAAAATGTAGTTATTGCTCAGTGTTTTCTGGGATTCAAGACAAATCTGCAAGCTCAGGTTTGATTTGTTCTCAGTTTATTTATCACGGGGCGAGTTTGAGACGTACAGAGGAGCGTGGAGGCATTTTGGAAAATATGAAAGAAGGCTGCAGCTGAGACTTCCTGTTGGCTGTCCTCAATATGAAATGAACAAAAACAATCAATTGTACTCAAAGCTTTTCTTAAGAACAAAGATGTGTCACCATAACTCTGCAAACGCTTCATCAGATTTAGGATCCAGTTTATTGCCAATTAGATTTCTCACATTGAAGGAATTCTCTCTGGTGTGTTGTCACAAAGAGAAGAAACCTGAAAATACATGTTTTTAAATGAAGAAAAATATGTAATTATATATCAGTTCATCTGCTGTGATCAATGTCTCACGCTCTGCTGTGATTGGCTGGTACTGCAGTCACATGTTGACTCGTTAATAATCCATTGGAAATTGACAACGAACTCAGAGGTTCCCAGTAATCAGAATATTTAGCTTTGGTCTTTGGATGTTCTGTTATTGTAGTTTGTGTTCGTTGAGCTGGAGTTGAACTTTACTAACTCTGTTTCATAACTCCAGGCTCCAGTGTTCTTCTCACCTGAACACACACCTGGACCTTCATCCAGCTGATCCTCTAACATGACCAAACACTACTTTAATAATATCTTTATATAACCATCCTTCTTTCATGTCATGCCATGTTTGCACACGTCTGCACAGCCCTCCACTTTAAAATACAACTCTCTGTAGTTTTACATATATTGTCATATTTTCATTCTGCTAAGTGTTGTAGCTTTTAAGGTTCTTTGTGTATTTACTTTTAAATGTGGTGTAATTACTTGTCTAATTATTTTTGTAATGGTAAATAGTTTCTTAAAAATACTTATTTTCATTATCTCTATATTTTTGACCTTCTATTGCAACTTGTTTTCTTATGTTGTTTATGTTTGCACCACCAGACACTAAATCTACTTCCTTGTGTGTGTGAACGTACCTGGAAATAAACGTGGTTCAACTTTAAATACAGTTTATAGTATTTGTCATATGTAAATGTTGTTCTAATAGTCTTAAGATTTTTCTTTAAATAGCTGTCTGTCACGATTTTAGTTTTGTCTGTCTCGTCATGGTTTTATTTTGAAATTCTGTTCTCCCTGTGTCTGGTCTTCCTTCCTGTGTTTGCCCTCCTGTGTTTGATTGTCTCATTGTGTTCACCTGTTGCCCTTGTGTTTCTGCCTCCCCTGCCCAGCTGTGTCTTGTCCTGTGATTACCCATCTGTGTGTTTAGTGTGAATGCTGTGCCACAGCATTCCACTATAGTTCTTCGAATCTTTATTCTTCCCATTATTATTTCAGCCAATAGTTTGGCTCTCCATAACTTCAGCTTATTTTCAGCTACAGAAACCATTCAAATATTAAACTATTCAGCCTTTTCAGGAATCGATGGGAAACCTTCAACTTAAACAAAATATTTTATACTTTTTGAAATATTCAGCTTTTTAAACTCTTTTTTTAACATGGAAGTCAATGGGAGATGCCTTCAAATCCTCTTTTTCTACACCTTGCGCCAAATGCTACTCCTTCCACATACTTTCAGCTAGACACTTCATTCCAACTTTCAAATGATCACAACACCTTCAGCTATTCACCATTGATTTTTATTTTTGATATCTTTTACACTTTTTGAGATATTTAACTTAGTTTGGAGCTTGGTAGAGAGGCCTTTTTCAGATTTTAACATTACTGTGGATGGAGTGCTTTGATCTCAAAACAGAGTGCAGCAGTGCTTCAAATTCTCCCTAAAAAATGTTTTAAACTTGCCATAATTCCCAAACCCTACACTCCTGAGACATATTTTTTCATGAAAAACGTAGGAAAACCTCTCCTAGGTTGGAAAATTAAAAAAAATGAAGAAAAAATATTAAAGGAGAGGTGTCATGTGTAACGGAGTTAAAAATGTGTAGACATAATTATTAGTTATAAATTACGATTTATAATAGGTTGTGAATTTTATTTTTATGAGATTGTTTCCTTTTGATGTTTTTGAGTTATGTTTCTGGTGGGAACACTTTCCCGTTGCACATCTTTTTCTATTTCCTGTATGTCATTTCCGCTTTCCCCTCACATTGAAGTGAGTGCTGCGGAGGGTAAGCTGTGCTGGGAGAGGTGTTACAAATCATTGCGGTTTTTGTGTGATGGACCGGCTGTTTGGGTTGATGGAAGTGATGTGTGTTGTTGAGTGTTAATTTGGGTACATTGTTGACCCGTTTTTGTTGAGTTTCCACCGTAGGAAATTGTATTTTTTTAGTGATATCTGTGGTGTGGTTTTGGCGGGAATTAGACGTGATTTGCGTCATTCTCTTTGTCTACATGTTAACCCTTCCTTTCTTTTCTTTTGTAAAGATGTGCAGCGTGGATTCAAGGAGAATATTGTTTTTGTTCTCAGGTATGTTTGTATTTGTATTTTTGTGTGATTACTTAATAAGATTTTCTTGTTCATTTAATAATTTCTTAATCTCTAAATAAGGTAGTATGTATGAATAGACATTGAAGTGAGTGCTGCGGAGGATGTGCAGCGTGGATTCAAGGAGAATATTGTTTTTGTTCTCAGTCCTCAGAATAAATGCCAGAAAACACCCCAGATGCTTCGCTGTCGTTTCTTGAAGGATAACAGGTCGCTTACAGTTGTGACCCGTTACACATGCTTTTCCGGTTATTACCCGTCCCCTTGTGTTATGAAGGTTTGTATGCATGTAAACGGTGTGCAGAGTCAAAACCCTCAAAGTACACCCTGTAGCGAGTAAAACTCCCCAAAACGCCTCGTTGGAGATACGTCACTGCCCATTTGATTCTTCCGGGTACGGCATGATGTCAACCCGTACCCGGAACTAAATGGACCAATCCGTGGAACCGTTACGTTACGTCCACGGAACCGTTACATTAAGCCCCCGCTGATTTTTCCTCCCTGGCTGCAGGCTGATAACAGACAGTTGGGATCGCGGCGAAATTCTCTCTGCAGACCCATTCTCTCTGCAGACCCATTCTCTCTGAGTTTATCAACCTTTTTCTTACTCAATATCAAGCCACACTTATTGTTTTTACTTCGGCTGTGACTTTGTGTGTGCTCAGGATGAGTTTGGCTGTGTTTCGCTATGTATCGCTAACAAGGAAACAACACCTCCACGGAGCTCAGCGCGATTCACAACGTCCCGACCAATCAGAGCACACTGTGCTCACAGGGAGGGTGGGGGCTGGAGCTATTGGAGCTACAACGAGTGTTAAAGGCAGAGAGTGAAATTCAGTGAATACACGTAGTTTACAGAGATGCTGTTTGAGAAACCAATGTGAGTTTGGAGAGATGCTGTATGAGAAACCAATGTGAGTTTGGAGAGATGCTGTATGAGAAACCAATGTGAGTTTGGAGAGATGCTGTATGAGAAACCAATGTGAGTTTGGAGAGATGCTGTTTGAGAAACCAATGTGAGTTTGGAGAGATGCTGTATGAGAAACCAATGTGAGTTTGGAGAGATGCTGTATGAGAAACCAATGTGAGTTTGGAGAGATGCTGTATGAGAAACCAATGTGAGTTTGGAGAGATGCTGTTTGAGAAACCAATGTGAGTTTGGAGAGATGCTGTTTGAGAAACCAATGTGAGTTTGGAGAGATGCTGTTTGAGAAACCAATGTGAGTTTGGAGAGATGCTGTTTGAGAAACCAATGTGAGTTTGGAACAATGCACAATATAAATCTATTCTAGTAGACCTCAACAATGGAATTATGATCAGTGAAAATGGCCATGACACCTCTCCTTTAAACAAAATGCCTCTTGAGGGCATGACGAGACAAAAAGTCCACCTAGCTCCCAATTGATTCCCATGTTAAATTTTTCCGGATCTTTCTTCAGAGCAAAGAAGTACACTTTAGACAAACTGCTCCCATCTCCACATTTTACACACAAAACCAAAAAAACAACATATATCAGTTCATTGGGGTTCCCTGATGCTTTCCCAAGACTTTTTACTTTCTTTTCTCATCTTAATCAGCAGAGGTGGGGACTCGAGTCACATGACTTGACTCGAGTCAGACTCGAGTCCCATATTTTTTGACTTGAGACTTGCTTGACTAACATTGATAAAAGACTTGACTTGACTTTGACTTGGTATTCATGACTTGAGACTTGACTTAAGCTTGAGACGGATGACTTGAAAGGACTTGTCTGTTTAAAATTAAATATTTGCGTTTGTTTTTGTAGTGAGATATTACGTTTAGTTTTTTCAAAAAACGTGATTGGGTGATTATAGCACCGTGCGCGCAAACCTGGCAACCCACTAGACGGCAGGAGAGGATGTCAGTTAACATGGCAGCGGCTAGCGTTACTCCACAAATAGTGAAGTTTGGATTCAAGGATTATGTTGTCGATGCCGCTAATAAGAAGAGAACAGCGGTATGCAGGGTCTGCAGCATAAAGATCACGACCACCACAACATCCAACTTCATTCGTCACTACAAAAAACCCACAGAGAAAGGTGCGTGAATGTGTTGTGTTAGCTAGAAAGCTAACGCTAAGTTTAAGCTACGCTAGACTTGGTTTCAAATCGATTAAGCAAAGAGAAGACAAAACGGTAAAT